CGCCAGCGCCCTTTTTGTGGTCTTTTTGGACTCTGTCTGGCGCTTTTGACTCCTTATTGAGCCTGGGCTCTCCTCCTGAGGCTCCCGCTGTGTCCTCTACCTTTGGACATATGTCACGTGGTCGCATGATTGCTAACTTTGGGCCGAAATGCTTAGCCTCAGCCTGGACTCTTGCTTGCACTACACTCTTTCCGGGCAAGTAGGTTGCCTTGGAACAGAATGGAAACCCTAAGGTCCACATCCAGCCCCTGGTTGAGGCAAAGGGTTCTGCCCATAACTCGTCAACCTGGGAAAAACATCAGTGCATCATCGGTAGTAAAAACAAAAGATGTCGTGTTTTTCCATTTCCTTTTGGTCTTAAGGGATTATTAAGGCTTAGAAAACCCAACTTGACAACATAGTAATTTGGATCAAACATCACAAATACCCCTCCCAAGCATTGTGCACTTTGATCTAACCTATTTGGCAACCTTTGGCTCCTGTAATCATTTGAAGCCATTGACGCCATTTAGGGCTTTTTTGGCCCGTTCTTCTTATTTACCCACAGCTGATAACGGCAATTGACTGACAGTTCCGGGTGGTTTATTGCCTCCCGATTTTAGCTTCCCAAGTTTTCCAGCTCAGCTTCTGGACTTGTGTTTATTTTAGCCAAATTTCCTTCATTTCAAGAAGGTACTCTTTCCAAAAAAGGTCATTAGTGGGTCTCAAAATCGCTGGCAATATCTACATTTCCTAACGTTTTTATGCCCCCTTAAACACCCCCGCTGGCCTTTGCTCTATGGCGTTGCCCGCGCGAGAATGGGGTGAAAATAAAGGCGGCTTAATTGACCATTCAGCCATATTCCCATGTTTCTATCGTTTCCATCGTTCAGGTCTTTCTCGCCGAATGCAAACAAGAGCCTGGACATATGGTGGCAGTGAAATGTATCGATAAAAAAGCACTGAAAGGCAAAGAAGATTCGTTGGAAAATGAGATTAAAGTGCTGCGAAAGTGAGTTACTTACTGGTTTTTTGAGCGTCATTCACATCGTGTTAGTGGTTGATATTTGACGAGTTGATCGCTGATCATCTCCCGCTCATCCCTACGTCCTCACTCTATTCACTCCTCGTTAAACGGCTTCTTTCAGCTGTGTTCAGCTGGCTCTCAACTTGGCTGCCTACGGCTTTTGCTTGCGTCTTGAATTAATCGCGCTTGGGATGCCATGGGCAACGAGCAATTCCAATCCTGTGCCGCCAACAATTTCAATCACCCCGTCACGTGCAAGCCATTTAGTTGAGCCCCAAACGGTAGAGCTGGCAAAAACTTGGGAGAAAAGCGGAATACTGTTAAGTTATTGATGGGATTTTAATTAGGCAACAATGTCCTTCCTGAATGTCACCAGTGCAAAATAAGCCTTTTCGGCCGTGGTCGGCTTGGGAGGGCTACAATCGCCACCGCGGCTAGCCACTCGGTTCAGCCCCAGAGGATAAGGCTGTTAAGAACCTGTGAGAAAGAAGCAGGACTCTCAAGTCCGTGAGTGTCCTTGCTGAGTGTCACCAGGGAAAATTGAACCTTTTCGAAGCTATTCGGCTCGGTGGGGGGGGGGCATTTTTCATATTTGATTGTATTAACTAATGGGTGTCGTTTCGTGGAGGCTTGTAAACTCGTGTGAGGCTGCGAAATGGTACAAGAGAGCTACGTTGGTCACAAGTATTTACAGGCAGGACACTGTAAACAGTGACATCGCTGGAGATTCCCCAACAAGGGGGAGGAGGTACAGGGGTCGTATTTGGTCGCTGGGGGAAGGCGAGGTCGTATTTGGTCTGAGGAAAATTTTTTGGTAGTTGTTTTTTTTGATAGCCCACCCCCCCCCGCTCGACAGCTCGATGAGGACGGAACTAGGGGGGGGTCGTAGGGACTTGACCAAAATTCTGACCAATCGATGCACCCTGACAACAGCTCTCGCAGGCGATCTCTAGAGGCTTTGCTGGGCCACGCAGTTCGGCTTACGTCGCAAGGTCCTAAGCCCGATATATAGGGGCTTCACTCTATAAAATATTAGGTCGTTCAGTATGAAATGTCCGTTTTTGAGAGTCAACTTCAGTTTATCATATCTCATACAACGCAAATTACAATCAATCAAAATATGATCCTAAGTTATCAACACATCTTTGCCATTTTAAAGGTAACTTATTAATTCCATCTCTATAGAAATCTGGGGAGCGAGAGGCAATAAAATCATGAAAGGCACTTTCTACATCATCATAAGAATTGAATAATTTTCCCTGCAAGAAGTGATCTAAAGCTTGAAAGAAATGGTAATCTGTAGGTGATAGGTCGGGAGAGTAAGGAGGATGAACGAGAGTTTCCAAGTCCAAATCCTGTAATTTTAACAAGGTCGAGTTTGCCACATGTGGCCGAGCGTTGTCCTGCAGTAGGAGCGGTCGGTCTCTGTTAATCATTCTCGGCTGCATAACAGCAAGCTTCTCCATCATTTCCTCCAGCTGTTGACAGTACGCCTCCGCCGTGATCGCCTGACCAGGTCTCGTAAAGCTGTAGTGAATCACTCCTGCGGAGGACCACCAAACTGATACCATAGTCTTCCTCTGGTGAGGGTCCGGCTTCGGCGTAGGTTTTGGCGGTTCCGACTTGTCCAACCACTGGTAAGACCGCTTCCTGTTATCGAAATGGATCCACTTCTCGTCACATGTGACGAGACGGTGTAAGAAAGGCTCGCTTTTTTGCCTAGAAAGTAAGGAAAGGCAAGCCTCAAGGCGGACCCTCTTCTGACGATCGCTCAAGTCGTGCGGTACCCAACGGTCCAGCTTCCTACTCTTGCCAATTTGCTTCAAATGAGACGAGATCGTCACCTTACATACTCCAAACTTTGCCGCTAATTCTCGAGTACTTTGAGTGGGATCAGCTTCCACTACGGCTTTAAGCTCATCGTTGTTCAGCTTGCACTCGGGCCGTCCTCTCGACTCATTTTGAAGATCGAAGTCGCCGGATTCAAACTTTGCAAACCATCGACGTACTGTTCGTTCGTTAGGGGCATCCTCTCCAAAGACGACGGTGATATTCCGAACTGCCTGTGCTGCGGTGCTTCCACGGCGGAACTCGTACTCCAAGACAACACGCAATTTGGACTTGTCCATGTCGTTACAAAAACCTTTCTAAAAAAGTCAGATTCCACGGCAGCCGGAGGTCCACCGAAGGTAAGAAAGAGGGAGGCTGCACCTTTACCAAAACTCAGTACCAAGGACTGCCGGAGCGTTTTGCCTTAGATACGGACTCTCGAACTATGCACTTCTGAAAAACGGACATTTCATACTGAACGACCTGATATTAGCAGGGGTGATAAAATGAGGAAAACGACGAAAAAGCAAAGTTGAATAGCCAAAAACTGCTTAAGAACATTTGCTTTTGTTCGGCATTGGACGAGCATTTCTGGACGAGTTTCCTTCTGGCATCGTGCTAACAACCGCTTTGATAGATACGGTTGCACGTATGTATCCATATGTCGATTTATCGTGCCTTTTGCCTTTAATTAGGCAGAAGTGTCCCTCCTGAGTGTCACCAATAAAGATTGAGTTTTTTGGCACTGTTTGGCTTGCGAGGGGCAGTTTGAATTTTCGTCAGTTCATGTTATCCGAGAGGTGTCACTTTGGACAGACTTGTATCTTGAGAGGTCGTGAAAATGTACAAGGGTTGCTCGGCTCATTGCTTACAAGGATTTGCAGCTCTTCGCTCGATGTGACTGTACGGGCGTTTATTGGCGGGCTGTGGGGTGGGCGTCTGAGTCGTCATGGAGCACCTTGGTCAGGCGCAGGCACTATAACGGTGCCCTTAGTTGGGAAAAACCTCCTGCAAACCTCCTGCTTGCCAAGGGGCGCAATATTCTTTCGTGCTAGGCATTTCGACCCTGTACGCCTTGTCGATTCTATAGTGCCACCTGCCTTGAGGTTCTTGATGAAATATTGATTAGGCAACAGTGTCTCCCGCAGTTCGCTAGGGAAAATTGAGCGTTATCGGGGCTGTTCGGCTTGGTAGGGGCATTTTGCACTTCGCTAGTTTACGATAACAGGCTGGTACCATTCTGGTGACACTTGGGTTGCGGAACGGCACCAGTGAGCTACGCTGATTACAAGAATTCCCAGCTTTTCGCAGAGCAACCTGTACAGACTTCGATTAGTACCATTTTCTGCCCCCTTCAAGCTGAACTGCGCTGCCTTCCCCTTTCCAAGGAGCTCGGAAGCTTGTTATTCTCAGCTGTAATTACTCTTTTTTTGTGCGCAAATTTGAAGAAAGTGCTTTACTTTGAACAATGAGTCACGGAAGTCAAGTGCTCTCGCCTTTTGCATTAAGTTCTGTGGGAGGAGGAAGGCCCTGCCCTGGGCGGTATGTGAGCGTGGGGGTTTCAAGACTGATGCAGCTCTACTTGGAACTGCGCCATATAAGGGCTGTCTGTCAGACCAGTAATAGGCGAACAGACAGAGTCATCTTTCTATTGTAGAATACTGCAGTATGCAAATCAATAACGATCGATATGACGTGAGTGCAAAGAATTTCACCTTCTGTGACCGTATTTATTCAATGGTATGGCCTATTAGCCCTTCTCAGCTCCTTGTGCAAAAAGCCATAAATCAGATACGTCTCTCATTCGACCCCTCTTAACCGAATTCAAACCTCACTAGCCGCTTCAGGCCGGTGAAGAACAGGGTGCGTCGTGCGATGGGGATCCGTAACAAGGGGGGTCGTTTTCGATGGCTGAAATGGAGGGCGCTTTTATTTGTTTTCGAGGATGATTTTCGGTTGTGGATTTGCTGACTTGCTCAGTTTTCCTGTTTCAAGTGCGCACCCCTATCCCGCTACCCATCCCTTTACCCCTATCCCGCTACCTCCCACGCTCCCTTAACTCACCCCCACCCATTTCGCTCAAGAGCAGTTTTACTTTGGAAGGTGGGCATAGGTGGAGAAGATAAGGGAGCGCACGATTCTACCTCCATTCAGAATCGCTTAGACGCTTTTGAATGCGATATAGCTTATGCAGCCGTGACTTGCGGGCACCCCCCCCCCATGAAAAAACCATGTTTTTCATCCTTCCAGATGAATCTGAGATCCCAATCTACCGTCTTGGAACGTGGGACGGCTTGTTGCCTGATGGAAAAGGAATCGGAATTTGCAACCACTGTCCGCTACAAGCAGTAAGCGTCGCCCACTTTAGCACTACACCACCTCTGCCTCAAAAAAAAAAAAAACCGGAGATTCCGAGAAAAGGAAAAGGAAGCATTGGAAATTCCAGAAAAATTACGTTAAAATAATGCGGAAGGGGATTTTCGGAGGAGGGGTTCCTTTTTCACAATGAATTCACCAATAACAGGTGGCCTTCTGAAGGAATCAAAAACCAATTAAGAACGAGTTGCGCTGAAGAGTGCTATACATTACCACTACTGAAACGGCGATTTAATAATAAGTCTACTTGTCTCAAAACTTCAACAACCCTTGTAGACGAGGTCGCGTATTAGAAAGGTGGTGTAGAAGGAGGGGTATCATAAGGCTTTGCGGAAGGCTCAACTCCGGAGTATAATTTCGATCTGCGCCCGATCCCCACTCACATCCAGAGCGACCCGCAGGCGGAATATCCCAGTCATAATTGTTTTGAGTAGTCCCAAGCGATGGCGTCCCGAACGTGGAAGTCCCCCCGGGGGCCTGTTCTGTTTCTGAAATTGCGTTTGGGTAAAGTTTGAAGATCCCCGTCCATGTCGTGTACGGGATGGTGGAAGGGCGAAAAGAGAGCTCATTGCTCACGTAGTGGATGTCTACTTAGTAGCTGAAGGCCATGCTATTCCTTGAAGCCCTTGGGAGCTTCTACCACTTCTAGATCTGGACGTCCTTACTTCCAAGAAATTCTGACTATGTTTCAGCTGACCCCTCTCAGGCATGATTTTCCGCTTGCCGGAATCGTGCAACTTCCTCGGGCATGCTTTCAGGGCCAAATATAAGCAAAAGTTGTGTTCCTGTCCAATGGCGAATTCACCTCTGTTTCCGACTCGCTGAAGCAGAAATTGCTAGCGCTGGGATAGCAAGGCGAAGGGAGTGAAGTGAGGGAAGTGACTGGAAAAAGGAAAGGGACGACGACGAAAGATATCAGGTGGTTGTGATGAGCCCAGAGTGGATCTCAATTGCATTACGGCTTCTTGTAATCCAGTTTAGAGTGTGCGCCTACTGCCGCGAGTAGAAGGCTTTCGTAGAGCATAATGGGGCCACTTTCTATCTATTACGGGCGTTTCGCCGGGGAACCTATTGGATTGTCCTTTTGAATCTGAGCTATTCCCGGGATAGGCTAGTTTCGTCGGCC